TGTAAGTGGGGAAATAGAGGACACACAGGATATATAAGGGACACATTCAGCACTTACTGACAGGATTTGGGTTTTATACATCAGGATAAAGCAGACTAAGTAAAGGCAGTTATTGCTAGCAGTGGATCATAATAAATTTGTAAGTAAGTGGCTCCATCAGGTACTTTGGCAGGAAAAAATATAAGCTGTATTTTAATCAGTTTTAGTTAATACAATTTAAGAATTGTCTAATACGGTCAGTTCTTAAGATACAAAAGAATGCAACACAAAATGCCACTACCACACACACTTAATGATATCAAGAAAGTTTTATTTTATAAACTCTTGTGAACAAAACTGAGGTCAGATGGACAAGCCAAGGTAGGAGTTAATGTTTATGTACATATGTAATTTAGACTATGTGCTAGCAGAACTCTACAAGGTCTTTATTGTCTCAGAACACACATCCCCCATATTGTAGGCATTTAATAGAGGGCCTGTGACTCACGGCAAAAGGTTTCACAAACATAGAAGTTTCTCTCCTGACCCAAAATAAATTAAATACTGTTTGCACATGGAGTAAGGAGTTGCATCAACAAACTGCAAAGAAAACCAAGGCAGCTATACCACTCTGGTGAAAAAGTACTAGCTAGCACTACATAGAGTGAGTTTGCAACACACTAACAAAGAGTTTACACTTCCTCACTATTTACAATGGAGTGCAAACAGAGCACACACCTCAGCTGCCACAGCAATAAACTTCTTTTTTTTCCCCCTGCACACACACTGCTTTCCTGAGTTTCCCAGGTTTCAAACACATTGCTCCATAGCAATAGAAGCCTTCTCTTGGTTCTGTGCTTCTCAGAAAAGCATCACATTCACAAGTTTGGCTGCTGGGAAACTAAGGAGAAGGAAGAGGTAATTTTACAAACCCTACAACACCCAAACTTCAATAGCATAGGAAAGACATGTTCTAGAACAACATACTACAGCACCTTACAGCAGTTTCAAAGTGGATCTGCCACTTAGACACACTGTGAAGTTTCCTTGGAAGTCTCCATCAGCTAAATAAGAGCTCTTGTTTTACCCACTGGTACCTGCTTAACTTCATCAGTTCTGATAAGGTGAGGTTTGGCATTTGGCTTCAGACTGCCACGTCCAACCTGGGGAGCAGAGAAGGAGTTAAAATTATGCCCAAGATACCTGAGTCAGAAGATGCTTACAATAAAAACAGTCTGTTAGAGTTGTCACACTTCTCTCAATGTAGGAAGAATAAAATAGTAAGCCTGTTCAATTGTGTTAGGTATACTTACTCTTCAAAACACTCAACAGTTAACAATTAGAGGCTCAATTACAAACTCATAAGATTACTCTGCTTAAACCAGAGAAAGTCCATCGTTCTGTATCTACTCCTGAATAAGCCGGTCTGATGCAGTCTCTCTTTTGGGACTTTATAATCCAGCTGGTAGATCCTAGAACAGTCTCTATTCCACAAACAAGCTCTTCCAGGATCTATTTTTTATCTTTGTCTCCAGAATCAGGTATGTCAGCTATGCAATGCAATGCGCTGCAGCATCCAAAATCCAAGCCTGGCTATTTTTAAGAAATCTCTAATTTTTCTTTTTTTTGGAAGAAAGGGGGAATCAAAGAAATTTATGGACTGCACCAGAGCTGTTGACTCACTACAGTCTATAAAATATATGCTACATTTTGCTTGCAAAATCCTTGTGGCAGATGAAATAAATAAAAGAAAATCATAATAGCTAGAGAGAGGAAGACACCCACACCAGTTCTCCTCAAGTTTTCAGGCATGCAGCTAGCCACACATAAGCAGCAGCCTTCAAACTTTTGGGTTTCCATTATATGTTTTGTGTTACTCTT